CTAAGAGCCATTTCGTTCGCGAACGACACATCACTATCGCCTGTTTCTGTCTAATAAGAATAGTGATTGGTTAAATTCTCACACACATGCTAGATTAGAGCCTGTGACAACAATCTCATTACAGAGGTTCTACTTCCTGTTTTTAAGTATTTTTGAGCAAAGACGCGTTTTTGTATCACTACCAAAAATGACACTTGATTCAAGACTCGAGCTGGAACTGTTGGACTGCACAAAAGCTGAGACGTATCAAACCACATCGGCTGATTTCCCTTCTTTCTTTCTTTAAGGTAAATATGATATATCAGTCATTGGGTTTTCCTGTCGTCTAATTATAGCTGGCACTGAATTATGTGTGTACGAATTATCTGCTTTCTACAGGATTTTTGATAACTAGTTTTTTATTCATTTTAAAAGGGCTGGCAGCTCATTGTGAACCAAAATACCTGTATGAGCCAATAGTGCTGTGCCAAAACACAATTGTAACAAAAAAAATGTCTTTGTAGATTCTCAAATATGTCAAATGTGTATATACTGTTGGATATGTGTCATCGAATGACCGAATAATTGGACTAATCAAAAATGTGATTTTTGCTTTTTGTGCCAGTGAGTAAATAAATGATGAACTGTTAGTTTTCTTGGACATAAAGCATCTTGTAAGTCACTATGTTGTCTTTCAGCTTCATCTGAAATTTATGTGGGGGGTTTTGATTAAAGAAGTAAGACATTTGTGTGCGCGTGTCTTTTAGAAGACAGACATCTCTTTTTTTCTTGATGGATTCTGTCCCAGCACATCTGTAAATACCGAGTTTGAAACCTTGAACTGCTTCTTATATAAAACCAGTTGACCTTTAACCATTACAAACATCAATGGAGTGATGTTTGTAATCATTTGGACTCAGATTTTGCATACTGCCACCTGCAGGTATTCATAACTGACTGTAGGAGTCAAATGTAAATTCCATAATAAACTCCTGACCTTACATGAAAATGTCTGTTCCTGTGTC